TAGAACTAATTCAAATGAATTTGAACAATATTTACAAATGAAAGAGTTATTAATGCATGAAAAAAGTGATCCCTTAAAGCAAATTGTAATTCATATCCTAATTTATTAAAATTGGCCCAAAAATATTTAATCAATTCCTGCAACATCTGTACCATTCGAAAGATTATTTTCAGATTCTGGAATTCATGTAACTTCTCTTAGAAATAGGTTAAATCCACATTTAGTTAATCAAGTTCTTTTTATTAAACGAAATAATATATATGTAGAAATGTTTCCTTAATAATCATAATTTTTAATATTAATTTATCAATTCTAAATATTAATTTTGATTTAATATTAATTATATTAATAAATCAAAATTATTTTAAATAAAAATATTATCAAATAATTTAATATGAAAATTTTAAATTTGTATTGTATTATTACATAATAAACTTTGTTATTACTAATTAATACCAAAATTGAGTGTTAAATAAATATTTTATTTAAAAGAAACAAATATTTATTTCATCAAGAAATTTTATTAGGCAAAAATTTATACAAATTTCAACACTTGCACAAGATTTTTGTATGTTTTTTTTATTTTTTGACTTCACTCACGAGTTGTGAGGCACAGAGAGATTTTTACTAAGGTATTTCTAAGATAGATAGATTGGTATTGTTCTTAGCTACAAAATGATATGTATTTCATTCCTGTAGCTTCGATATTCGTGGCGATCGCTTGGTTTAAAGAAAAACAATTGTAAAAAAAAACTGTGCAAAAATTTGCAAATAATCATCAAATATTTGTGAATAATCATTGAATAATCGTAAATAATTGTTGAATAATCATAAATAATTATTGAATGATCATTGAATAATCATTGAATAATTGTCAAATAATCATTGAATAATCATCAAATAATCATTGAATAATCATGAATAATCATTGAATAATTGTGAATAATTGTCAAATAATTGCAAATAATTGTCAAATAATCATCAAATAATTGCCAAATAATCATTGAATAATTGCTGAATAATCATGAATAATTAACAATTATTTGTGATTATTTGTTGATTATTCATGACAATTAATTGAGTCTAAATATTAAGATGATTCCTAACCCTATATGGAAGGACAGGATTTTTCTCACATGATTCTTTTAAGATTCAAAAAGGTAAAAAAAATTTATATTTATTTTTAATTTTATATTTTTTAATTTATTTATTTTCTAATTTGATTATTTTTTAATTTTATTTCTTTTATGATAACATTTTATTTTTAATTTATAAAGGATTGTTATAGAACCAACATAAAAATTGTTATGCTGGTTATTTAGATTTTGAAAATGAGATGGACAAATATCAAGAATTTGCATTGTAATGTAAACACAAAATAGAGTCAATAACAATGGAAAATAATTCCAAACCTGATTGCATATTACCTAATAGACAAAAACACAACCTTGCAACACAAGTGCATCAATTTATTTGGCACTCAATAATACATAACTTTTCATTTCCCATATCTTACTACAGAATTAATAATATAACAGTGCATAATTTAAATACTTTAATTTTTGAACTAGCAGCAACATTAGGATGTATAGGGATATATACATTAGGTTCATTTTGTGATGAAACAGATTCCATATAAAAAGTTTGATTGGTATGCATCAAAATGGACTCTTAGAGATATTGTGGAGATTAATTTCAATAAAGATAAGAAATCTTTTCATGTAGCAAAAATTTTAAGAATCAATTTTGAGAAAACAAAATTTATTGTAATTCCACTTGACAATAATAATAATTCTGAACCAATTAACATTGAAAGAATATTTATTCAATGCCACCAGAATTAGAATGGAAGATTAATGACATGTGTGAGTTTAAAAATCCAAATGATAATCGATGGTATTTGGGAAAGATTATCAATCAAGATTTAATAGAATTAGTTATAGAAATTCCTGAGCTTATGCAACAATGGAAAGTTATAATTCAACATTGCAATGGTTTTCTTCAGCCATTATACAATATTCAAGAACTTTTAGCAAATCACAAAACAATTAATCCTATAACTGGTGAGAATTGGTTTTTTATTTGTAACTCAACACATGTATTTAAAAAACTTAGAAACGATTTGGCAAAAAGTCACATTGGTGAAAAAATACTCAAGAAATAATGTTTAATGGAAAAGAAATTAGTTGGTGACATATTAAAGGTGTATATGAACATACAATATAACATATGACAGCAAAAGCAACAAAACTTACCAAACGACATATATGGCTTACATCATGAAGTAAAATGTGAGTTGATCTTGCAGAACATATTTTATCAAAAGAAGTAGAAGATGCATTAGAATTCATTGAAGAATTAAAAGAAATTTCTGAAAGAACAAATACTTTCAAAAAGCAAAAAATTAATTTGAATTTTTTGAATTTTTTTTTTAAGGATTTCATAAAATATTCACAAAAATATAGACAAATAATGCATAGCAAAATTAATTTCTGGTCATTAGATGGTGAACGTCTTCATACCTTAAAAGAAATTAGTAATTGGTTTATATATGGTTATAAGCAGAAATCAGGACCGAAGGCATGAATCTCATCACAGTGCTAATTTTACTTAATTTTGTCTATTGATGGTTTTATTGGATAAACGCATTTTCTCAAGATATGCTCGAAGGACTTTTTGGTACAATCCGTGAACTTGGTGGAGATTCTTCTACACACACGCTTAAGTCTTATGGATATTCTTTAAACAAATATCAATTATTCATCATTATTTTCTAGAGAGGAGAAAAGTATTAATTATGGAAGTGCTAATTGCATTGGAACTGGAATTACCACTTTAGCAAGAAGGTATATAATTAAAAATTTATTATTGTTTTATTTATAATAATGAACATATGATATTTTAATTGTGCTGCGGTTATTAATTTAATTGTGTCAATTGAATTAATTATATCACGGCTATATAATTAATTTAATTGTTATGATTATAATTGATTTAATTGTGTCGCAGTATATAATTAATTTATAATTGATTTAATTGTGTCGTGACCATATAATTAATTTAATTGTTATGATTATATTGTGTCGCGGTATATAATTAATTTATAATTGATTTAATTGTGTCGTGGCTATATAATTAATTTAATTGTGTCACAGCTATATAATTGATTTAATTGTGTCGTGGCTATATAATTAATTATTATATTAATCCTTGTTTTTTGAAATATTTTATTTATTTATATTAGTGACCATTGAAAAAATAAAAAAAATTTTTAGATAAAGAAGATAAATGTTTTTATCAAAAACATCATACAAGATTGGCCTTTCTCCCGTAATATCTTTGAAGACCTATCAGAAAATCTAATTATAGGAAGAATTGATATTCCATTAAACTTATATAATGAAAATTTAATTCTAAAAACTTTAAAGTTTTGTAACTTCAAAAAGAAAGGTGTAATCTTATAGAAACTATTCTTTATCAGGATTCCATCAATGAATTATTGGAAAAGTGGAAAGATATAATTAAAAAAAATGGCTTGTGAGGCAGTTCGGAAGAGAATAGGAGTTCAATTGTTAACAAAATGGAGCTCTCTCCTTGAAATTTGTATAAACAATTATCAATGTTCTGGAATTTAGTATGAGGATTTTCTTGCAACAACTAATTTAAATGGTTCTTCAACCCAAAGAGATGTTGCATATTTGCTTTTACAAAAAGTAATCAAGTATACATTTAGTAAAAATACAATGCAAAATAATTTAAACAATTATCTTTCTGTGGATTCCCATTTTATTCCAAATGAAACAATTAATTTAGAGCCAGCTGAGGCATCAAAATTCTCTTATATCATTGGATGGGTCATTTATAAGCTAATCAAAAGTGAAAATATAATGAAATCACATCCTAAATTTGAAGCTATGTGTGCTCATCTTAATGTTCTAAGCTCAGAACAGGTAGTATATGAACAAGATGTATGATCTCAGATAACAAATGTGATACCTGGTCAAGATTTCTTAGATATTAAGTATAAATTGGAATCACTAGTATTATTATTATTTGAGAAACATAAGAAACTTGGTCCCAATATTCTTTTATATATCATAATAATTTATTATGTAATTTATTTTTGTGGGAATCTTTTATTACATTTCTGATCAAATACTCTATACACATAACCCCAGAAACACTGAAAAACATGAATTAACTGAAGAAACCAAGAAATTTCTCGATGAGCGAATTATTTCTATCTATATGAGGAGTAGACAAAAATCCTGGAGAAGGTTTAATGAACTTACTCCTGAAAAAGGAACTTGAAGTCTTCGAGAGAATCTTAAAGCTATGAAAAATGATATTAAAAAAAATCGAAAACAAACCAGCATTAATAAAAAAATCCAATATTCCAAAGGATCCTATGCTTGGATTGGAGCAAATTCGAATTTGGGCACATTTAGAAAATGTTGAGAATGAATTCTCTAAAATATTTTTAATGAATGAATTAAAATGGTTACTTTGGGCCTTTGGAGATAATTCAAAAAACAAAAAAAAAGAAAGACTCAATACCTTTAATTTTGGATCATTTAAAAAAGGGAACACCTTTTTCTGAGGAAACCTTAGATAAAGACCATATTTTTGTATATTAAAATACCCAAAAGAAAAAAAAAAGTATTTTAAATTTCCACCATGTTAATTTCAATTTAATAAAGTTAATTTGATTTAATAAATTTATAAATAAAAATAAAATATGTAGCTCAATATTGGACCAATTTAAATAAAAACACTTCGCCTATATAGAATTAGCATAAAAGACCTTTACTTTTGAGATCGGCTGTTTAAAAATAAGTGTACGGCATTTTGTTCGCAAAAAAAAATATTTTCTATAATATTAGTTTATTGTGTGTCAGATATGTTAAATTCAAATCTAATACAATTGTGTAACCATAAGTATCCCTAGATAATACTATAATTTCAGATAATTATAGGTTAAAACATAAACAACAGAAAGCTATCAGACGAGCACGAGCAGATGCAAGTAACCATCAACATGAATGAGAGTAGCAACGTAAGCAACATGAAATTCAACGTGATAAAAAAAACGAAAAATTTGTATTGATGCATCTTGTTCTATCGATCATCCAAAAACCAGTACTTAACACCATTAAAGCATGATAATCAAAACAAATACCTAGAAGTTATAAATCAATTTACAAAATATTATGCCATTTGATCTAGATGTACACAAGTACGGTTCGTTCTGGTCCCGCGCAGCTTCACATGCTGCGCAGCTAACCTTATTGTCCTATCGGTAATCATTCCTTTCATAATTGCCTTTTTTCTTTCTTTCAACTTGTGCGTCTTATTTATCTATAATAGGAAGAATAGCTTGTGAACCCATTATATGAAAAGACTTTACAAATTTGAACAGCATACCTCTTAATAAAATACATTATTAAGTACATTTGAATCCTAAGTTTCAAACTTTACCTGTTTATACGATTTAATGACTTCTAAAATTAGAAATATGTTTGTTTCATCATATCAATACTTCATTGAACTTATAACTTCATTGTTCGGTCACATAAGGCCTTGTGTAACCATGTCCATCTCGCATAATCTCATTTCGGAGTCTTTAAATATAAAGCAGCAGCATCTTAATTTATTATTATATATTTAACGAATAGAGTTTTTTACTATCTTATCAGAATTCAATGCTTAAGTTATTTTTCCACTTTAATTATTGTAAGCGTGAATAAATTATTCAACTTTTATGTAATTCTTTGTGAAGTAAAATTTATTGTTCACTTTTAACGAATCTAGGCTATTTAATCCATTATTATGGTATAGCATTGCTACTATTATAATGTCCATGATTACACATTTTCGGCTGATTGTAACTTTGAAATGATTTTTCGTCACCTTTTTTGGTTATAATCTCATAGATTTCACCTTTTTCAGCTGAATTTATGTAAATTATATTTTTCTGTTTACGTGACATTTCGTCTAGAAGAATAAAGTTTATATATAAATGTAAGACAAGTATCTCATATATGCTCGTATGACGTTCTACATTCTAGAATTCTATTATTTGATTCTTTGTACATCGTTGTGAATTTTTGTATAATACGTATCTTTAAATGTTGATTCGGATTAAAACAAAAGAAAGAATATACTATCGAAATAATTAATATTTATTCGAAAAAAGCACTTATTCGACAAATCAAAGCGTAAATTAAATAAATGACCGATGTGCAAATATTGTGAAATCATATTTTTATAGAAAATATAAGGTATTAAATTTAATATAACATTTATTTATTAATTTTTCTATCTATTTATCGTTCTTTTGACAATATCATAAATCTTAAAGCCATTAGAATTTATATTCGAGTTAAAACTTCAATAAAAATAACTGAGTGTGATTTAACAGCAATGAGTGTGAAATCAGCTGAAAGTGGCGTTAGTGGTCAAAAGAAAATTCTTGGTTACGAATATGAGATCGGAACAATAAAAGATGAAAAGAAAGAATTCCAGTGTTTTTCAGCTGAAGGTGGTTGTAAACGGAAAATTCTCGGTTATGAATATGAGTTTGGAGGAGACTGTGACGGACAGAATAGTCTTGGTGAATGTTATCGATATGGGATTGGAACCACAAAAGATGAAGAGAGAGCATTTCATTGGTACTTGAAATCAGCTGAAGGAGGAAATATTATAGGACAATATAATCTTGGTTATTGTTATCAACAAGGTATTGGAACAACAATAGATAAAGAGAAAGCATTTCAGTGGTACTTGAAATCGGCTCAAGGGGGAAATATTGCCGGACAATATAATCTCGGTCGTTGTTATCGACATGGAATCGGAACAACAAAAGATGAAGAGAAAGCATTTCAGTGGTACTTGAAGTCAGCTGAAGGAAGATATAATAAAGGACAATATAATCTTGGTTATTGTTATCAGCATGGAATTGGAACTAGAAAAGAAGAAGAGAAAGCATTTCATTGGTACTTGAAATCAGCTGAAGGGGGAAATGAATACGGACAGAATAATCTTGGTTACTATTATGAAAATGGGATTGGCACAACAAAAGATGAAAAGAAAGCATTTCAGTGGTACTTAAAATCTGCTGAAGGTGGTAATATTGACGGACAGAATAATCTTGGCGATTGTTATCGATATGGGATTGGAACAACAAATGATGAAGAGAAAGCATTTTATTGGTACTTGCGATCAGCTGAAGGTGGAAATATTACAGGACAGAATAATCTTGGTTGTTGTTATCGACGTGGGATTGGAACATCAAAAGATGAAGAGAAAGCATTTTATTGGTACTTGAAATCAGCTGAAGGGGGAAATATTAAAGGACAGAACAATCTTGGTTATTGTTATCGACGTGGGATTGGAACATCAAATGATGAAGAGAAAGCATTTCAGTGGTACTTGAAATCAGCTGAAGGAGGAAATAATATAGGACAATATAATCTTGGTTATTGCTATCAGCAAGGAATTGGAACAACAAAAGATACAGAGAAAGCATTTCAATGGTACTTAAAATCAGCTCAAGGTGGAAATATTGCAGGACAATATAATCTTGGATGTTGTTATCGACATGGGATTGGAATAACAAACGACAAAGAGGAAGCATTTCAGTGGTATTTGAAATCAGCTGAAGGGGGAAACATTACTGGACAATATAATATTGGTCGTTGTTATCGACATGGGATTGGAATAACAAAAGATGAAGAGAAAGCATTTCAGTGGTACTTGAAATCAGCTGAAGGAGGATATCATAAAGGACAGTATAATCTTGGTTACTATTATGAAAATGGGATTGGAACAACAAAAGATGAAGAGAAAGCATTTCATTGGTACTTGAAATCAGCTGAAGGTGGTTATAGTGATGGACAAATTAATGTTGGAGATTGTTATTATTATGGGATTGGAATCACAAAAGATGAAGGAAAAGCATTTCAGTGGTACTTGAGATCGGCTAAAGAAGGAAATATTATTGGACAGAATAATCTTGTATATTGTTATAAAAATGGAATCGGAACAACAAAAGATGAAGAGAAAGCAATCCAGTGGTTCATGAAATTAAATGATGGGGGAAATAATAGCAGTTTGGATAGTATATATAAAGCAAATGTAGATATGAGAAAGTTTGGAGAAAGACAAATAGAAACTAGTGTTACTGCTGATAGAAATTATTTCAACTGCATTCAGTTCACGAAGCCCAAAATCACCATAAATGAGTCGAATAATAGGAATAAATCATTTAATTCAAATATCTCAAATTCAAATTTCCTTTCCATAGAATCAAATGTATATTTTGGAACTTCAGCTGCTTCACATGCTAAAGTTAAAAAGCTAATTAAATTACTTTTAGACAAAAAAAATGAAATTGATAAAGTATTTGAATCACAACCTGCTTATTTTATAGGACTTGATTTCCATGAAAGTTCCTCTATGCCACATATTTCATGTTGGACTACTGAACCACTTGATATAATAATTCTAGAAAATCTTGAGGAACTATTTAATGATGAGTTTGAAACTATGAGTTATGTGCTAACTCCTACAAACGATGAAGACATAAATGGAGAAATAAATGAAAGTGAATATTTAGCTAGTGATGACAACAGTAATGACAACAACAACGATAATAATAATAATAATTATAACAACAATAACAATAATAACATTAATAATTACAACAGCAATAATTATAATAATTATAGTAATGATAACAACAATAATGGTTACGGTAATAACAATAATAATTACAATAACAATAACAATAACAACAATATTAATAACGACAATAATAATAAAAATGATATTGATGATGATAACATTAATCACATTTTAGTCTCATCTGAAGTAACCGCTAATGCAGCAGACTTATCAGATGTCTTTCAAGATTTTAATATTTCAGCTTATCTCCATGCGAAGGTTGATCCTCTTCATAATAAAAGAAATAATTTAAAATTTTCTATTAATATAAATGATTGCAGAATGGGTCCAATGCTTAGTGATAAATGGCCATCACTTCGTAAACTAGGTTCTGGTTATTTTCTTGATTCTGTTGAAATTTGGGTCACTCCAATTAAAGACGAATCAATGCCTAACAAGTCCTTATACAAAGTAAAAAATGGTCCATGGCCACAACAATTTAATAAAGACATTGATATTTCTAAAGTTCATGAATATAAAAATGGCATCAGTGCATCAATAGGTAGAGATCCCGCGTCTATATTAAGCCAATGTATTATGGATGGAAAAGAAATTAAGTCTGCAACAAAGGAATGGGAATTGACAGTTGATGGCAGTGGTAAAACTGGATTGCGCTGGAGATACACATATACTGCTGAAAACCTTTACAAAGATCTTGACCGTAGAAAAAATTTTGCTCCTGGAAAACATTCCTGTCACTGGCTTACCTTAGAATCCATGAGTGGATTTCATATTACTATTACTCAAGTACTATGTTGCAAAATTACTGATGGCTGGCGAAAGTTGAAACCAAATACAAAATCAAACTTTATGAAACTATGTCCCAAGATGTCTCATACTCTTAAAATAACTTTTAATAGTCTTAAAAACTTTAATGAAAATTTCGAAAATTTTATGAAATCCGAAGAATCTCATGAAGATCATATTAATATTATTTTAGAAAAAAATGCCTCTCCCCAAATAGAAGATCCAAAAAAATCATACGTGGGATATATTAACCTTGAGCGCTCGGTCAAAATCTAATTTTTATTCTTCACTACTTTGTTAGTTGCTTTATAAAAAATGCTAACTTATAAAATGAATATATCTTATATAATATTTATTTCTTCATTTCTGTTATTTTATTTATAATATTGAAGACTTGAATAGTTGAATAGTTGATGACACCATTTATTTCTTTTCTTTTTTTTTTCTGATTAATAATTGTAAGTGTGAAATTGCTCATATAATTGATCAAAAAGATATCTTTAATCGAGAACGTTCATAAAATAATTACGAAAGACGGAATTCATTTAATAAAAATTTTTTTTAAATATTTTCATCCAACTTCTAAAAAAATTATCATATTTATATTTTCTTTAGTCTGAAATGGAATGCTCTATAAATATAAATATTAACTTTTTTCATTAGGTAATTTTTTTTGTTAGAAGATAAATTTTCCTCACATCTTGTAATTTAATAAAGGTTTTATTTTTTTTAAAAAAAGAGAATATATGTTGAAATCTGGAAATATAAGATGTGATCATTTAAAGGTTCACAAATTTATTCATGATAAAGTCGGTTACTCATCTTTTTTCTCTAATATAAAAAATCTAATATAATATATATATAACAAAATCAATTTTTTTTTATCAAATTTATTTTGAAAGGTAAATTGGGTAAAATATAATAAAATAAAAACTTTCGATAATTCCTTGAAAGATCAGACAATTTCAAAAAATATGTGTTGGCATATTATCAGGTCAGTTATTCGGCATTTGCTACTGAATAACTACGTCACTACAGGTGTCCTGATATTTGCCAAATATTCGGTACTGAACTATTAACCTATATGTTTAAATATTTAATAAAATGAAAATATATCCTCGAGCTTTTCGTACATTTTAAAATAATGCATTGTTGTCTCAATTAAAGTAGCACAGCAAGTAAGTCATGTTCGCATTTGATTTTTGTATTGGAGAAACGATAGAATAGATCATGGTTATATATTTCAAAGATAATTGATTTAACCTATAGAGAAATAGAATAAACTTGTAAAATTAAAACCAACATTGCGCAGAACCCTGGGTGAATATCTCTTCATTTCAAATTGCGTCCAATACTCCTTCAAGATCTTCGATTACAATATTAAATTCCGCCTTGCCATTTGCTTTGTTGAAAAAAAAAGAGAAGAAAATGCAGGCATTCTGACTGTATCGTAATCATCTCTGTCATCCAAATCTTAGAAGTAACTTACAGTATTTCTTCATAGAAAGTTAATACCTTCGAGCTTTGGTTCGTTCATCGTAGTGTCTGTGCTAAAAAAATCAATAAGTAGAATTCAAGTTAAGATTTTTGTAAATAAGGATTTTAGCCGATCGAACTTGTTTTCTGATTTATTGTAGTTGTATTTTATAAAAAGATGAATTCTACGATTGTAATTATAGATTTGTAAAGATCTTAAGAAAACTAGAAACCGTGCTAAGAATATATATGCCTACATAGAAATCACGATTTAGAAAAAAATGTCTCGATATTATTTTGGTATAACCTTGAAGAACTGAATTAAACACACATGAGATTATTTCACAATGTGAAATGAAAAAAAAAGAAAATTTTGAAATTGAAAGCCAAAACATAGCTTCAGCTCTAAGAAGGTTCTCCATAACAATAATTACCACTAAAAAGGTATTAAAAAAAATAATCATTACAATTGCTTTTACTCTCGCTAGTAAATTGTAAAAGAAATAAATTGCTTATAATTATATTATCTCTATTATTCTCACACACTCCATTTCTCAAAATTTTGTTTTTTTTTATTATCTGTTCCACTACAAATTTATTTTTGACACGTCATCAAGAAAGACCGTCCAAAAGAGAACGAACATTATCAAAATTGAGGTAAAGGGAATCGCTGAATTGCTATAATTGTATGTAACAAATAATTAATGGGTTCCCTCCTAGAAAATCAGTTAATATAAACTGTTTTCTAAATAGGGTGGATTGCTTGAAAAAATAAGATTTAATGTAAAGATTTTAACGAAAAGATGAACAAAACTTTTAGCGATTAGTTAATGATTTTTTGTCATTATTTGATCGCATACTTCAATATTTATATTTTATAAGATTATATTATATCTTTTATTATACTATTGTTTTAAGCATATTCATATACTTCTTATTTGATCCTTAGATCATTTCGTTTCATAAATAATAATAGTAAGAGCTTAGGCGATGAAGATTAGTAATACTAAAAGAACAAAAACCAATGGGCTGATTTCAAGTATCAATGAAATTCTACAACTTCATCTTTTGTGATTCCAATCCCATAGAGATTTCATCCTACAAGACTATTCGTCCATCCCTATCTCCACCTATCAGCTGATTACAATTACCACTGAAATGCTTTCTCTTCATCTTTTGTTGTTCCAATCACATGTTGATAGCAAAGCCCAAGTTTATATTGTCCTCCTTTCTACTGATTTCAAGTGTCACAGAAATTCTTTCTCGTCATCTTTTGTGTTTCCAACCTTATGTCCGTAATAATGACCAAGAATATTTGTTCCTGCAATATTTCCCCCTTCAGCTGATTTCATGTACCACTGTAATGCTTTCTTTTCATCTTTTTTAACTCCAATTCCATTTTGATAACAATAACCAAGATTATACTGTCCATAACTATTTCCACCTTCAGCTGATTTCATGTACCACCGAAATGCTTTATTATAATCTTCTGTGGTTCCAATCCCATAGCGATGACATTCACCAAGACTATTTTGTCCATCCCTATTTCCACCTTCAGCCGATTTCAAGTACCACTGAAATGCTTTCTCTTCATCTTTTGTTGTTCCAATCCCATGATGATAGCAAAGACCAATATTATATTGACCTGCAGAATTTCCTCCCTCAGCTGATTTCAAGTGCCACTGAAATGCTTTTTCCTTATCTTTTGTTATTCCAATTCCATAATAATAACAATAACCAAGATTATTTTGCCCATCACTATTTCCACCTTCAGCTGATTTCAAGTACCACTGAAAAGCTTTCTCTTCATCTTTTATTGTTCCAATTCCATGTTGATAACAAAAACCAAGACTTTTCTGTCCGTTACCATTTCCCCCTTCAGCAGATTTTAAGTACCACCAAAATGCTTTATCTTCATCTTTTGATGTTCCAATCCCATGTCGATAACAATGTGCAAGACCATTCTGTCCTGTAATGTTTCCTCTTTCGGCTGATTTAATGTACCACTGAAATGCTTTCTCTTTATCTTTAGTGGTTCCAATTCCACAATAATAACAATAACCGAGATTATTTTGTCCATCACTATTTCCACCTTCAGCTGATTTCAAGTACCATTGAAATGCCTTCTCTTCATCTTTTTTTGTTCCAATTCCATGTTGGTAACAATAACCAAGACTATTCTGTCCTGTAATATTTCCACCTTCAGCTGATTTCAAGTACCACCAAAATGCTTTCTCTTCATCTTTTGATGTTCCAATTCCATGTCGATAACAATCGCCAAGATTTTTCTGTCCGCTACTATTTCCCCCTTCAGCTGATTTCATGTACCACCGAAATGCTTTCTTTTCATCTTTTATAACTCCAATCCCATTTCTATAACAATGACCAAGATTATTTTGCCCCGTAATATTTCCACCTTCAGCTGATTTCAAGTGCCACTGAAATGCTTTATTTTCATCTTTTGTTATTCCAATCCCATGGTAGTAACATTCACCAAGACTATTCTGTCCATCTCTATCTCCACCTTCAGCTGATTTCAAATACCACTGAAATGCTTTCTCTTCATCTTTTGTTGTTCCAATCCCATGTTGATAACAAAGCCCAAGATTATATTGTCCAATAATATTATCCTTTTCAGCTGATTTCATGTGCCACAGGAATGCTTCCTCTTTATCTATTGTTGTTCCAAACCCAATTCCATAACAATAAGCAAGATTATTTTGTCCATCACTATTTCCACCTTCTGCTGATTTCAAGTACCACTCAAATGCTTTCTCTTCATCTTTTGATGTTCCAATCCCATAGTAATAACATTCACCAAGACTATTCTGTCCCATAATACTTCCACCTTCAGATGATTTCAAGTAACACTGAAATGCTTTCTCGTCATCTTTTTTTGTTCCAATCCCTTGTTGGTAACAACGTCCAAGATTATATTGTCCCGTAATATTTCCACTTTCTGCAGATTTCAAGTACCACTGAAATGCTTTCTCGTCATCTTCTGTTGATCCATTCCCATAGTAATGATAATCTCCAAGTTTATTCTGTCCGTCACTATTTCCACCTTCAGCTGATTTCAAGTACCATTGAAATGCTTTCTTTTCATTTTTTATTGTTCCAATCCCATGTTGATAACAACGTCCAAGATTATATTGACCTCTAATATTTCCCCCTTCGGCTGATTTCAAATACCAATGAAATTCTTTCTCTTCATCTTTTTTTGTTCCGATCCCATGTTGATAACAACGTGCAAGGTTATATTGTCCTCGAATATTTCCTCCTTCAGCTGATTTCAAGTACCACTGAAATGCTTTCTTTTCATCTTTTTTTGTTACAATTCCTCTTTCATAACAATAACCAAGTCTATTCTGTCCGTTACCATTTCCCCCTTCAGCCGATTTCAAGTTCCATTGAAATGCTTTCTCTTCATCTTTTGTTGTTCCAATCCTATGTCGATAACAACGTCCAAGATTATATTGTCCATCACTATTTCCACCTTCAGCTGATTTCAAGTACCACTGAAATGCTTTCTTTTCGTCTTTGTTTGTTCCAATTCCATTTTCATAACGATAACCAAGATTATTCTGTTCTTCACTATCTCCATCTTCAGATGATGATTTCACGGACCGTCGAACTATTGATGTATGTGATAATCAAATAATTTAAAGTTTAATTAGAATGGATAGAGTAATTTATTGCTAATCATATGAATATTATGAATAATATGCTGGTGGGAATAATAATTAATCATTAAAGAGAAAGAGATAATTATATTTTTTTATTGTTAATTATAAATAATG